GGATCAAGATGAGAGAGAGGGAAGTGGTGGGGGGATCAAGATGGGAGAGAGGGAGGCGGTGGGGGGATCAAGATGGGAGGAGGGAGGCGGGGGTCAATAGCCCGTGTTGGGGGGACTCACAGGGCACCCGCGTGTGGCGGTGCAGGGCCCCGCAGTCCAGGCACGGGTGGCAGAGGAAGGGCGCGCCGCCGATGCAGTGTGGGACCAAGCACTCCACAAACCAGCCTGGTGGGCAGCCGCACCTGGTGTCGGCCACTGCCGAGCAGTTCTCCAGGGCCACCTGGGAGGCTGGGGGCGCAGGGAGAGGGGGGAGCAGAGGCCGTTAGGGGCAGATCCCCGGAAGAACAGAGACAGGATAAACCAGAGACAGGGCCACCCCAGGGGAGAGGGAAGCGCACACCCCACAGACCAGGCCTGAGGTGTGCAGACAGGATGGCGGCCTGGAGGGAAGGGCACCCTGAGGCAGGGTCAGGAGAGCGGCCTGAGGGCGGTGGCCCAAACCAGCCACTTCCTGCAGAAGGAAGCGGGCACAGTCTGTCCTCAGGGCCCCACCGGACACCAGCAGCTCCTCACCCTGCTCGTCGCAGGCCTGGCAGCGGGCGCAGCTGGTCTCATGGTGGTGCTCCCGGGCCAGGAAGGTGCCCTGGGCGCACGGGACGCAGGTGGCGTTGCCACAGGGCTCTGTGCAGCGGGCCACTAGGTATTGCCCTGTGGGGCCCAGGCTGGGGTCAGAGTCAGAGGGGCTCCCGCCTCCCTCCCTCCCTCCCTGTGCTCCCCATTTTTCTCCCAGCCTCCCCCCAACCCGCCACCCCAACCCGGATCACCTGCCGGGCAGCCCCTGCAGCAGAGTGGATCCGTCCTCTTCCGAGAGTCGGGGGCACAGTCACACCTGGAGCTGGGGGTGCCGCCCCGGCCCTGGGCGCCCAGCAGGAGCAGGAGGGCCTGGGAGATAGGGGCTGCTGGCTCCCGCGTGAGCATGGCTTCCCCACGCGGGGCCTCTCCCTGCCCAGTCTCCCAGCGTCAGAGGCCCCCGGGATGTTGCCCTCAGGGCAGCCCACTTCTCAGGTTCTTGGGCAGAAGGGGTGCCCAGGGGGTGGGGATGAGACAGGGAGACAGGCCCGACTGGGCAAGAGGAGGGCTCCCCCAGCCCCTCACAGGGCCCCTCCAGCAGGAAACAGGCAGCCCCACCCCCGCCCGAGGGACCCCGCTGTCTCCCTCCCTCCGGGGCCTCCAGACCTCAGGGACCCTGGCCGGGCACTTCCT